TTTATCTTATCATTACACACTTCAACGTGCAAAATTAAAAATTACGTGTTTGGTCAAAAAATTTGTTGATAAGCCTAACAAGTCGAAAACTTAGTAACCAAACAGGCTCTTCATCAATTTCATTAATTTTTGTTGATCACACTGATTCAATATTACAAAATGATCCTTAAAATCCTGGGGATGATGATGGTCAAATTACCTCGGCTAGGCCCACTGGGATTCGAGATATGAATGTGGCTGCTCTGAGGAATATCACAGGTAGAGAATGGAATAGAGATAGGATTCAGTCGATTTTTAATGAGAAAGATAGAGAAAGAATTCTCAGCATTCCTATTAGCAAAGTGGACCAGGCAGATACAGTGCCGATCCTATGTAAACTTGGGCCTGAGTCCAGCTTCATAAAAGGACCCTATACATAGTATTTGTTTTGAAATACAACATATTTGCAAATAGAGGATTTATATCACAAAAACTCAATACTCGAATAAATTCTTACATTATTATAACATAAACAAAAAATCAGAATTTTGATTAATTTTCAATTGAAAATTGCACACTTTTTTATCATTATAATCTTAAATAAAAAATGTCTCAATTCTCAAATATAAAAATTTCACTTGCAAGGCACGGCTTTACTTCACTACTTCGTAAAATTAACAAGTAGGAATCAACTAGCTTTTAATTTCTAAATAGCATTTTTTATGCAGATACTTCATATTGCAACCAATAATATAAGAATTAGTCAATAGTTATAGCAAATAGAGAATAGAGATTAATAATTTAATTAGTTCATTCGATCATTCACAAATCATTAACTCATCAAATTAGCAAATCGTTCTAAAAGCTAGTTTTTTGGAAATAATGACATATCGGCAAATTTGGGAGTTCGGGTTTGTACTTCACTACTTGGTTGATAACTGATCTATTGTTCTGAGTGTTTTGTTACTTCTGTAGCGAACGATTTAAGCTTAACAATCAGTATAACTCCTGTTTTTTAATACATACATAAATATAATATAAAGACATTTAAATTTTTGGGTCCCTAATTTTTAAATTTTGGGGGGGGGGGCCTGAGGCCCAAGCCTCAGAGGCCTAGGGGAAGGACCGGCTCTGGGCAGATAGTTACTGGTGGAAGGGGGAAGCGAATGACAGTTATTCGGTTAAGAGTTGTTATAACTTATAAGCTTCAAGTGGGAAGTCTGCAAGCGCTGGAGGATGTCTAGCGATACTTGTGGGAAGCTAAGGTACCACGTAAATTTAAATATTTTGTTTGGCAGGTTCTGGATGGATCAATGGCTATGGTGGACAACTTCGAAGGAGGGGGCTGATCATATAAAGTGGTTGCAAATTGTGCGACGATCAGTTTGAGTTTTTAGACCATACGTTCAGGTTGTGTAGCTGGGCGAGGGAGGTCTGGCGAGCTGCGAATTTCTCAACCAAGGATGGGAAAACCTTTGAGGAATGGTTGAGAGGCAATATTTCCGAGAAGGACAGGGACAAAAGGAACAGATTTATTGCCACTATTTGGGGTATTTGGAAAAGGAGAAATAATGCAGTTCGGAAGGATCAAAAAATGATGCGACAAATGTTATTAATGCGGCGGCATGAATGTTAGCAAGTTGGTAGGAAGCTCAAAGAACCGGATGTACCCAGCAAACTGCGGCCACCGGGGAGGAGGAAAAGTGGGAAAAGCCGGATAAAGATTACATTAAATTTAATGTGGACGGAGCAGTTAATGAACCGGGGAAAATTCAGGCTTAAGGCTGGGTGGCTCGAGATGAGCACGGTTTTTTTTTTCAAGGCAGCGGAAACCGAGGTAGCCGATTTGAAAGCTGCTATTGAAGGAGCTCTTGAAGCAAGTTGGAGCAATGTGGAATTTCAGACATATGCTTTGACTATTGTGCAAGGCCTTCGGCGAGGGGAGGGTTTTTCGTATTTGCACATTGTTTTGGATTATATTAAGAGGATGTTGGATACAAAGAGTAATCTTTTTATGTCTTTTTGTAAACGGTCTGCGAATCGTGCAACTCATGATTTGGCAAGAGCTCACGTTAACCTCTCAGATCAGTATGGTAGTTTTGATATTATGCCAAGTTGTATTGCTAGCCATTTGGCTAATGACCTTTTAAGTTAATAAGAAAGTTGGATGTGATGAGTAAAAAAAAAGTAACATCAGTCTTCATCTAGAAAAATAACTTCAGTCTTACTTTATGTTATCATTACACACTTCAATGCGCAAAATTAAAAATTACGTGTTTGGTGAAAAAGTTGGCTAATAAGCCTAATAAGTCGAAAAGTTAATAACCAAACGGGCTCTTCATAAATTTCATTAATTTTTGTTGATCACACTGATTCAATATTTCGAAATGATCCTTAAAATCCATACTTTTTAACGGAATGTGATAGACATGTTTGTATAATACTATGGGAGTGTTTGGATCTGATTCTTAAAACTGCTTCTGCTCCTTCAGGGAGCAGAAGCAGAAGTTGGAGTGTTTGGGTGAAAGAGCAGAAGTGATTCTGGTGCTCAAATTTACTCCTAGAATATGTTTTTTAGAAGCTGGGGGTGACCAGCTTCTGAAAACTGATTCTGATTCTGCTTCTGCTTTAAAAAAGAAGCAGAAGCAGAATGGGTTCCAAACACCCCCTATATGCATAAGGTAGATTCTATGGTACCCAAAAGGTATCATACCTTTGTCCACATGGACCAATCAGAACATTGCAGTTGAATTATTTAAATACTTACTTAGATCAATCAAGAAAATGATAGGTACGGTATCGCATTTTTTAAATGGGTACCGAAATTCTCTTGCATAATGCTAAAAGTGGAGTTTAGTAAATCCTCGCAATCACCGGTATCTCCTTAGATGGTCAAAGTGGCAAATCATGTAGCTAATCAACCTTTTACAGCAAATGCCAAACAAATCAAATTAGGAATAAAGTCATTCGTTCTGTCAACATATAATTTTTTGATGATATATTTAGTTATTGTGATTTGTGAAAGCTGTAGGCCGACCAAGTATGATACTTAGTGCTTTCCCCTTCCTCACATAGTCACATCAATATATCACTAAATTGCGGAGTAATTAGAACGCCCCATCAAATCAGCTCTTAAAAGCTAAAATACCACGCGGCGGGGTGATAAATCCATGGATTATGTTTTTAATCTCGACAATTAACTGCTCCACTTTGACAAAACAACTCCACACTCAAGAGCCGTTCCAATTACTTTTTGAGTTCTGAATGCCATTTATACGTAGGGGTAAACGAATCAAATAATTTGTGCTCGATTCGCGATTCGAATTCGTATAAGACGATTCGAATTCGGAAAAATTCAAATACAAATACAAATAAGAATATTACATTTGATTTGAGTTGTTATCAAATACAAATAAGAATATCAGTGAATTCGATTCGAATATTAATCAAATATATTCGATTAATAATAATGATAATATTAATATCAATATTAATAAAATAGTAATAACACTATAATAACTTTTAAAAGATAGCAATACCCTCAAAGTGTAGCTCATATATATATTTTTGCATACAAATTTCAAGTCTATTTGTTATAAATCAGAATATAAATATGAATACAAATCAATTTTTTGGTTCAAATGTCTTTCAAATACAATACAAATAATTATGTGTTCGATTTGAAAAATAAAATTAGAGTTGTTTGACTTTGATATATACAATTATTAACTTATTTCACACATTATAAGTATAATTTTTAATATATGTGTGTTAGTGTTTATTTCAAAAGGTTTGAAGTAGATTTATATTTATTAATCATAAAATTAATCCACTTTAGTATATTGTGCACCGTCTAAAAATTCATTGATCCATTAAATTTAAATTCTAAAAACACATATTAAGTCATAGCATGCATTTACAGCATAAACAATACGGATTATAAGAAAAGTTGTTTTAAAGCGAGACTCCGTATTTGACTAATATTTAACCTATGATCAAATCGATTCGATATTCGTATATAATTCGTTAACTGTTCGTATTGTTAAACAAATATAAATACAAATCGAAATTAATATTCGTTGCATATTTGAATTCGAATTCGTATTCGAAAAAATTAAACAAATACAAATACAAAATCTCATTATTCGACTCGATTCGGTTCGTATACAACCCTATTTATACCCCTCCCAAAATATTGATTAAGCGACCATTGCCGTTAGTCTAAAATGTAGATGTGTAGTATTCAGAGGATGCTTTCTCATTCACATTTCTAACTATAAACCTATCAAGATTTAGCACAAAATTTAGTTGCAACAGAAATTAATCGAAGTTATGATGTGAATACATTGATAAAATTATGTACTTGATCCATATTTTCAATAGACTTGCGTATTTTTGGTGTCCCTTAATAGTATTCAATATGGAGGTTTTATTGAATTTTTGTAGTTCGATTCAATTTTGTTCAATTTTTAGCGGTTTCGATTCGGTTCAGTTTAAACCGGTTTAGAAGAAATACTATCAAAACAAAACCAAATTGCACATGAACTGATTTCGGTTCAATTTGGTACGATTCATTAAAACACTTAAACCAAATCAATGTCCACCTCTAGATGGAATGATGTGTCTATGTACAACCGCCTTTGAATCACTATTACTATTTACGGAGTAAAAATAACGGTTCATATACAATTTTATGTGGTGAGATAACAATAAGACTGAAATTGACTGTCAATATGAAAATAATGTATTCATTTTCTCAATTTAATTTCTCTCCACCACTCAGCAAAAGTCAATATATTTGTTCTACATAATTTTTGAATATTTCTTTGTTATAAACAATTATTTTTCAGTATTTTTACAAGTCATTATAATTTTTAAAAATAACACATTTCGATTTAAAAGCAAAACAAAGTTTGTTTAAATATTCTTTTTACTTATTCGGTTAATAAAAAGACTATTTAAAAAAACATGTGTGATTAAGCATGTTAATATATTATACATAAATACATAAATAACATAAGCTCTAATATAGAATTAAACTATTATTAATATATCGTGTCACACTACATCTCTACACCATGGATAAACTCAAATATTCACTCTCTAAATATTCACTACATCTCTGATACTAGGGGTTGGAAACATCCTTCTGCCTCATTGCTCCACCGCGACTGCGCGAGGTCTACTGTGCTTCTTTTGCTGGAAGCAAGGGTGAAAATGCCCATTTTCCCACCCTTAGCAATTGGGGCATACAAGGGGGGAATATGGAATGTGTGGCTTTTGGGGTGAATAGACTTACATTTGCTATTTCCATTGTTAACCCGTCTGATGTTGATAACCTAGCTAAGCCCATCAAATGTTGTCTACATCAAGAAAATTTTCAGACAAAGATGTGTCCATGTGTTGAAACTTGAAAAGGTACTCCGTATGTCATTGTGAAAATCGTTTGCAATGCTTTCTTGCCAAACATTGGACAAATTAACTCAGAACAACGTGCTCCATGCCTCCATTGATTATATACAGGATAATTATTAACAACTGTTGGCAGTACAAAATACTCCATAGAAAGTACATTATTATATATAGCTACACCAGAAAAGTGATAAAGAACATTGGCTCCTGTCCTTCATAATACAATTACAGTGAAGGGTAATGAAGAGTAACAATGCTACAAGATAGAAGCGCTCCCTCAAGTCTTCGCCCTCAAGAAAACTCCCAAACCAAGTCTTACCCTGTGGTAAAAACAAAACAAAAAAATACCCTAACATAACCAAAGTTTAATAGAAAAAAGAGTGGTAGTATATTTCCCCAGCCTTTCTTCCTCCTCTTTGGTAATTATTGTTGTATTGTTTGATAAACATTTAACCTCCCATCAACTCATCATTACCTCTTACATATGCACATCAAGACACTGACTCTTCAATGAAAAACTCATAATAATTGTCAACGACTCTCATCTCGCTATATATACACAAGCTAAAACTAAGTGGTTTAGTTTTAGGTTCTTTTGATTTCTCACCTCCAAAAAATCTATAACTTGTTCTGCAACCTTTCTTCTAGGCTACGGCAGAGATGCTGCAGTTCCTTCCACAATTGAAGCCTTCAATCCTCACCGGAGCCGGTTTGTTCCCAAATTTCATACCACACCCTCCCCCGCCATTCTTACGGGCGGAAGAGGGTAGTGGTGGTGGTGGTGGAGATGATGGTGGTGGTGGTGGTGCTATAGCTTCCAGAGTTGGTGTTATCGGGTCAAAAATATCATGCCCAAATTGGGTATCTTGAATCAGCGGATTAGAAGACCTGCTTGGTGGTGTTCCCGAGAAAAATGGAGAAAGAGATGAATCTGTCTGGAAATTGGCCCTGCCTTCACCATAACTGCAACCCCCCTGTTTGCACACCAAAAAAGCAAGTATTTTAATATGACTCAAGTTTTAAAAAAACATTTGGAAGCAATTAATTACGGCTAATGGGTGGGCATTATGAGCCAGATTCGTACCAAACACTAAATGTTGTATTCTATCAATTTCTTCGATTTCTTTGATTAACTGAAATATTGATTTTTAAATACTATTTAGATAACTCGATGTGAGATTTGAGCCAAAACATTGGCAATTTTAGTCGATTTAAACAATTATTATTACCCTACACAAACAAGTTATCAGTACAGGCTACAAACATGGAGGTGAAGTCATTGGGCGGAGATTTCTAGAACAATTCACACACAATTAAATGGAAGAAACAGTATAAAAAACCAAAGGTCTTGTAAATTGTCCGTGAATAATTGCTAAAGTAACGAGAATATTATCAACTAGTTTACAAAAAGCATTGCAAACACAAGGGCATACATCAAGATTTTGTTGTGTAAATAAAAAGAGTTTCAATTTGCCCACAATTTCTACAGTTTTCAAGCAAGCTAGGAAAGAGATACAAGTTCAAATGACCTTGGTAAGGATGATGTCCAGAAGTTCAGTTCCAGATTCCGAGTCACAAGCCTCCATCTGATGACTGTTACAAATTTCAAAAGAAATGATAATATATCCATAATATTCAGAAACTGCAAAATGAATAACAGTATGAAGACGAACACCTAATCTTAATTTAGAACGAACAAGATATATACCCGAACTGCAGATAGCAGGAAGGTTTGATGGACTGAACAGCATCAAAACCAGAGGGCGAATTGAAGAACCCACCGACTCTGCGGGGTTTGGGGCAAGCGACGCCGCTGGAGAGAGCAGCGTCTACTCCCCTTGAAGCTCTCATCATCATCATTTTTTTTCCTTTCCTCGCCTCCTTTCTCCTCGACCTAAGCCTTCACAGATCCGAGATCTGCAGAGAAAACACAGCGCAGAAAACACATAAATACACATAAATTTCAGATCTAAACGTGAGTATATGCATGTGTGTTTTCTGAGTATAGACACGTGATTGAAAACGTGAGAATAAGATTTGGTTCAGGAGTGAATAGAGAGACCTAAGCGTGGCGCGCTGGGTGGAGAGAGAAAGTGAAGGTCGGCAGGCGGCGGCGGGTGGAGCAGAGTGAAAGTCGGAAGGCGAGAGCTGTTTCTTGTGTTGGCTAAAAGAGAGCTAAAATGGTGGTGGTGCGAGGTGTATTCATAGGAGAAGAAAGAAGAGAATGAAAGGGTTGGCAATGTTCGGGTTGCCCCGTTTCATATGATGATTCGGGTCCAGTTTTGTACAGTTGGTGGTACGTACGTTTAGTTGTTCACTTGTTTGTACGTTAATTGTGATTGCTCTATTTTTGGATCTCATGTAGTCATGTTATCTCCCATCATTTTTTTTGGATGGTCTTTAAATAAGGGTCTGTTTGCAACCCATTAAAAAAAGTGCTTTTAACTTTTTTTTAAGAAAAAAGCACTTATTTTACTAAACACTACCAACTTTTACTTTCTCGGCTTCCGTGTAGAATCTACTTTTTACTTTTTTTATTACACAAAAAACACTTATTTTACCAAACACTACCAACTTTTACTACTAATCACTTTTTCCCCAAAAGTGCTTTTATTTAAGCAGAAGTGGTTGCAAACAAAGCCTAAGTGTAGTTTTCTCTTTTTGGAAAGAAAAATATATAATCCACTGTATTTCATTTTTTTATATTCGAATATTAATCACAATTTTTATCTTTTTAATCACTTTATTAATAATTGTGTTTATCTCATATGAGACACATAAAATGAGACGGATGTAGTATTATGTACTACGTATCTATTTAATGACTTTGATTTTCTGTTTATCACATGAATTTTTTACTAAATGTTTAACTTTTGATTTTGCGCGTTGAGCTATTAAATATTCAAAATAAGTAGGGTTGAGTTGCTTTTCAGACAAGATTGAATGAAGTTACTGTAAAGGATCATATTACATATTTTCATATATTTTCTCTTTATTTTCTTAATAAAATATAAAATATAATTTAAATATATTTATTCATAATTTAAGAGAATCAACAATTCGATCACTTCAATCAAACTTCAAAAATTTCAGTAAAATCGATTGATTAGGTCAATTTCAATGTTATCAAATGGGCTCGATAAAAATACACTTACTCTATATAACTAGATGTGATTTATTTTTAAGTTAAACACAATGTTGTCACATTATTTTATAAAAACATGCAAATACGTAGTATTTTTTAACCATCTATCCGCATTATATATTTTGCATTGTATCATGGGAAATGTTTTTTAAAATATCATGTAAACTCTTACATTTCAAATTTAAAATGTCACGTAATTATTTCACATATCTTATCAAACAATTCCAATTGTGAGGGACTTTGAAATATTATATAGGATGCCCCGACATGAATTTACAATGATCGTAATGGAATTTAAAATCTATATCTAATTAAGTGAACTAAGTTTCCCGCTGAATGTCTAAGGGGCATTTGTGTAACTTTGTATAATTGAATCTAACTTATTATTATCTCATGTTCTCAACCATGGGCTACTCCTTTCCAATCTCTTCGGGTCTTCCTAGACTTCGAACCTTCGACGTGTGTTCGTCTTCTTTTTCAATCTGGGCTATCTGTAAAATAAGAAGCTTCCTCTGCTGATCATATGTGAAGCATCAACCATCCACCTTTTTCTATCTACTTTGATATCTCTTTCCATTAGAATATCTTCTATATCCCAGATATCTAAAGGTATTTGAATTCAGCGATTTCGACCTCTGATATCCTGAATTAGCAGTTATCAGGTCAGTCTAGGGCTCGCCTTTACTGCTACGTAAGCATGGATTCTTCTTCAATTAATTCATGCATAACAGTAAGGAAGATCCAAGTTGCTTTAATGAGAGATAACCAGTGGGGTTAGTTAACTAGAGAGTGAGGATAACCCCTGACCAGCCTCCAAAGCCAAGGGGGCTTCAGCTTCCGTATAGATGTCCTACAGAGCTCCCATAAGGACCGGGCTAATTCAAAGGGCGAATCTGACTGAATCTTGGAGTTCAGTTGCTTTGGTCCTGTTTAGCAAGTTACACATTAACCAAACTCCTCATTTTATTGGTTAGTATCATCTCCCAAATGTATCTTTTTTGTTATTTGTAACATGTCTTATCATACCTTATTATTTTATTTTATATAGCGGCATAGATGTGTTCAATTTGCTGTTGAAAATTACAAGTATGGCTATTTATAGTTCATAAAGAGTCAAATTTAATACACCTCACTTACACAATTCTTGCAAAAGATCTTCTACTTCTTGATTTATTTTGATTGAGTTTTCTATTAAGCTAACTATGTTAATCTCAAATGTTAGAGAATTTCACCCTTATATAATTAGTTATGTATTCACTAAAAAATAACATATTAACCAAACTACAAAAGGTACCTGTTCGTTGCACGGCAGGAATTCACACACATGATTAACATATAAGAAGATTACACTATGAAATTTTTGGAGTCACATACATACATGACTAAGATATAAGAAAAATGATGATTTTTTCTACTTGTTTTTGAAGTTTAATAAATATAATGATATTGAATTTGTGAACGAGCTATTAAACTATGTATTAATGTATTAGTGACACTTATATCTTTCACCTATTATAACAATGAAGATATAGTGGAGGTATTGAAAGTTCCAATTTCACAGTAACACAGACACTAAAAATAGAAAAAATCAAGAAGTCATTTAATAACAGTCAAATTAGTTGAATAGATTGAGTTCGATGAAATTGATAAGTTTCTGATTGAACATTTGTAGCGACGGAATTGCATGTATCTGCTAACTAATGAAAAAATTCAGCATAGAGTTTTTGCCACTTTTATTTAGTCCTCCGACTATTATGTCACTGGAACTTTTGGTACTTGACTTTGACTTTTTCCACTTTTAGTCTTTCGACTATTGTGCGATAGACACTTTTGATACCCGTCTTTGAAAATTTTCACTTTTAGTCCTCCGATTTTCATAAAAATGACACTATTTGTCCTTCAACTATTATAATAGTGATATTTTTAGTCATCCGCTTATTGTGTCAAATTCATAGTGGAAGGACTAAAAGTGTCAATTTTATAATACTCAGGGGAATACATGTGGAAAACATTGAGGACGAGGACTAAAAGTGTCTTTCACACAATAGTCGAGGACTAAAAATGGAAAATTGAAAATCGAGTACCAAAAGTGTCACTAACTCAATGGTCGAGGGACTGAAAATGGAAAAATCTCATTCTACATATTATATAAAATTTAGTTTATTAATAAAATAAAAGAAAAATATATAAAAATGTCACAAATGGTTTCATACAGTAACTTGGAGTATTTGCGATTGCTTCTACTTTTAAATAGTGAATTTTAAAATGATTTCGAAGAAAGTGTTTAATAGTAGAAAGTTAGGGAAAATCGCACTTTTAGTCCCTAAAATAGTCACGGAAATGAAATGTCGGACCCGTATTTCCAAGTTTGTAAATGTCGCCCCTCAATTGTCCTAAATGTTGTAAATGTGGTCCTTTGAGGGGTGAAATATACAATGTGGGCGATAGTACATTTCACCCCTTAAAGGACCACATTTACAACAATTTGGACAACTGAGGGGTGACATTTACAATATCATAAATACGGGTCCGACATTTCATTTTCGTGACTATTTCAGGGACCAAAAGTGTGATTTTCCATAGAAGTTAATAGTGTTTCAGTAAAAAGTGTTTTGAAAGAAAGTTAAAGTTGATAGTGTTTGGTAAAATAAAGGGAAAAGTGACAAATAAGCTCATGTACTAACCAAAAAAGGTCAAATAAGCCCATATTTAGGAGACTCTGTCCGGCTGTCGCCATTTGGGTTGGTTCTCGGTGAAATTTTTTGACGAAATTTTTTGAGCATCTTATTCATTGAGTCTAGTTTGCTCATACCAAATTTTTGCTAACAATTCAACTGAGAAAGCATTCAAATAAATTTTTGAAGATAACTGCGTTTTTAACTTCGCCGTTATTTTCAAGAATTCATTTGAATGTCTTCCCAATTGAAGTTTTAGCTGAAATTTGGTATGCGTAAACTAGATTGAATGAATAAGATGTTCATAAATTGTCATCAAAAAATTCCATCGGGAACCACCCCAAATGGCGACCGCCGGACAGAACCTCCTAAACAAGGGCCTATTTGACCTTTTTTGCTTAGTATGTGGGCTTATTTGCCCCTTTTCTCTAAAATAAATGTTTTTTATGTAATAGAAAAAAAGAAAAGCAGTTTAAAGCATCTCTATACATGCTTCCAAGTTTTATCTTTTATGTGTTCAATTTAAACAAAAATTGTCATTTGAAAACACTTATTGTAATTTTTTTTTATCAAAAACAAAAAATAAAATTGATCCAATCTTACTTTTTTCTATTACTTTGTATTACACAATTTTGGGAGGAATATAAAGTTCCTTATTTGATAATGAATGACAAAGACTATATAAGAGCAATAAAAATGGAAATATTTTAGAAAAATAGTAGGAAAATTAATTATCTAGAATAGATATTTGTGGTGTGCGTTTGTACACCAACACACCCAAATACTTGTGTTATACACACTACTCAACACACTATTGAAGGAAAAAGTTTTGATTGCATCAAGACCCATCGTTTTCTTCAAAGTAAAAGGGGAGTTGTGTTAATAGAAACCTGCGTAGGAATAAAAGAGTATGGAAGAAGGTTGGGGTTGAAGATGTAGGCGGGAAGCTGAGAAGACTCAAAGTGCACTCGATCCACACACAACCGGTGTTAATTAAATCCAACGACTGAGTTTTTTTCTTTGATTTTTTTTGAACGAAAACTTGTCTTTATTTATTTGAATTGAAAATCCATTTTCTCATTAAAAGTCTCTAGAGAAATAAAAGAGAGTTGAAGAAGTTTGGGGTTGAAAAGGGACTCTTATTTGCCAAAAGTGGCGGCACCGAATAGCAAAGGCTAAATCGGGCACACGGAACATAATTTTCAAAATATGGTAATTTGAACTGTCTCTAGAGAAATAAAAGAGAGTTGAAGAAGTTTGGGGTTGAAAAGGGACTCTTATCAGGCCTTGTTCCTTTACATTATAATAGATATGCATGTGAGTATATAAATGATTTAACTTAAACTACTCACATGTATTAGGATTGCAAATTTCGGAGTCAAAGATTATCTGTCACGCCCTGGACTTACCCGGACACGTTAACAACCC